AGCAGCAACTGGGCAGAAACTGCTGCTTGGTATGAGGGAAAGTGGCCCCTCCCCCTCCCCGCCTCTGGGCAATTTTTGGTGCAACTGCCCAGAGCCCGCAGCATCCTGGGCTGTCACTACCACCTGTAGGCTGTCCTGTGTCTGCTCTGCACTGTCACTGCTGTCATGCTGGGCAGCCCAGAGGCAGTGATGATGGAGCCACAGGACAGCTTGTCATGATGTATGCTCTGGGCAGCTGCACCAAAAACTGCCCAGCAGCAGTGAGGGGGAGGAGCTACTTTCCCCCACACCAAGCAGCTTTTTTTGCCCAGCTGCTGCTGCCATCACTCAACCTGGATGGGTGAGCCTGGAGCTGGCACTGGGGCTTGGGCTGCACAGCAGTGGCATGGGAGAGAAGCTGCTGCTCAGTGTGCAGGGAAAGTGGGCCCTCCCCCTTCCACTGCCAGTTCTTCCTGGTGCAGCTTCTCAGAGCCCATGTGGGGCTGCCCTGCATCTGCTCTGTGCTGCCACTGTGGGGCAGCTCAGAGGTGGCTTACCTGAATTTCCCACTCCAGCACAGGCACGTACAAACAGCCCCATGGTCCCAGGCCAGAAGCTTCTGCTAGGCACAGGCTTCTGGGTGTGGGGTGGGGTTGGGCAGGCCTTGCTGCTGCTGTGGCTTCCCTTGGGTCCTACTGTCCCTGGCTTCTGTCATCTTTGACAGGCAGCCAGGGGCAGATAAATATTAATTTTCTAAATTTTGGGGGGGCCCCACAGGCTGGATAGAATGTTCTGGTAGGCCGGCTTTAGCCCATGGGCTGTATTTTGCCCACCCTGATGTAAAATTTGATTGTACTTGTGGAATGGCACCAGGTTTACACTGGTGTGACTGAAAGTAGAATTGTGTCATTGAGAGAGTCCACTGTAGTTGATCTGTTTGTTTGATGTAATGTATAACTGTGTGATTTTAAAAGCTGTATTTCTTTTAACGCCATTTATTTTAAGTGAACCTCTAATAAATCAGCTGTTTGCAGGTGTTCATCTAAAAGTCACTGCACACAGGCTGATTAGAAATTGCAGTGCTTAGCAATGAGCTAAGCTTTTCCCCTCTGGAATTAATGACCATTGGAATCAATGAGGGGACTTTTTGAGAGAGCACTTTATGGTTGCTTGTATGCAAATAGCTGTAGGAAATAGACTAATGAGCTCCAAATGTGGGTTGCTTCACAAATTCTCAGGAGCATCATACGTGATTTTTCTCTATGGCTCTTTCTCTAAAAATAAGCCTTCATGTAGCACTTGCAAATATCATGACAACTGATGGGCCAGGCTCTACCCTCCTTTAAAATGGAGTAACCTTATTGTTAGTGAAGGGGTGTGTGTGTGTGTGTGTGTGTGTGTGTGCGCGCGCGCGCGCGCAGGCAGAAAAATAAGGATAGAGGGAGGGTAAGTAGCCCTCTAAACCTCTGTGCCTGGTACTTGCATCACCAGACCTTGTATCAGAAGGAGAGAGCAGCTGCTGCATCTTTTTGCATGTAAGTAACCAGGCAGTTATTAGTTAGACATAAGGAATATCAGAGGGTTTGGTAACACCCTGGCCAGACCAGCTCAATTTTTCTTGTGCTGCATTGTGATATTGTAAAATAGCCATGAGCAAGGCAGAGGGATGGAGAGAAAAGGCAGATGCAGTGGAAAGCCTAACATCATTACAGGCAATTGAGGCAAGAGATGGTGAGAATCATCTGCTCCATCAGCTGTTAACTGAAGGCCCAAACAGATGGAGGCTTAAGAGGCTCAAAATTTGTAAACCATTTGCACATGAAATTCCTGGAAGAGATTGGGGTTATTGAACCAAATCTATGGGCAGCAACAGAGAGGGGTGACCCCTGGGAAAGGTCAGATCTAGTCTACGGTGTTTTATACTAACCCTGAATGAGTCCCCCACTGAGTACAGCCTTGACAGAGAAGTGTGGGTCTAGCTGAACAGACTCAGATCTGGATATGGACACTTCAAAACAACAGTTCACAAGATGACTGTCTTCGGCAGCCCCTTGTGTGAATGCAGCACAAACAGCACAGCACTTAATCAAAAGCTGCAATCTTTACAGATGGGGTAGATGGAATGAATCCTTACACTGAATGATAATACCAGACAGTGACTCATAGATTTGGAAGTTGATATCTGATGCCATACAAGAGGGAGAAAGAGAGAGAGTCAGAAGCTGACAGAGAAACAACTTTTTTTATATTATAGAGGAAACTAATAACACTGGCAGTATTGTATGCTGCCCTACACTTCTCATTATATGCTATTATATGGTTCATCTCACAGCTATTATATGCTCCATCTCCTTACAGCTCCTCACATATACAGGCCAGTCTGTATACACGCCACCTTTTATGTATTTAGTCAACAAACCTGGGATACAAGGATGATATCCCCCTTATCGCTGCTCCAACCTGAGATAGGACTGAGCACTGAAACTGAGAGCAGGGACTCTACTTCTAAATTCTCAGTTGCGCCCCTACTGGCACCATGGAAGAGGAAACCATAGCTTCCATGCAGAGGTGACAAGACCCAAACTTGGTGGAGGTGGCCAGAGAGAAGTAGAAAGATAGCTTGGAACAAAACCTGGTGAGACAGAACTGGGAATGGAGAGTGGAACTGGGGCCGGTGCAAATTATGTAAAGAGACTGGGATTTGGAGTGTAGTGAGAGAAAAATGGGGAAGGGAAGAGGAAGCCAACTGAGATGAGAAAGGTGGACATAGATTGAATGAAGGGCTGGGTATAGGACTGGGACTAGCTGGAGAAGAAGACTGGCAATTAATGGGGATAGGCTTAATTACTGGGGGAGGAAAGCCAGATCTGAAGGGAGTTGGATTGATTTTGAATTGATTCCTGTATGAAGATTGTTTCCATGCTATGATAAGCCAGATGCATTATTTTATAGTGGCAGAATTTATCTAACAGAAAATTATTTGCTTTCAGTGAGAATTCTAATTGCTTATAAATATGAAACCATATGGAGGACTGATTTTTAACTTAACTTGAATTAAAATCACTTGAATACATTATATGAGATCTCCCACTATGGTGTTTCTAGCACAACAGCCGCATCAAAGTGACCGCAACAGTGAAAACCCCCACCGACTGACATTTCTTTGGTGCGAGAACTAAACATGGAGCCTTATGTGCATAAGCCTGATGCTGCAACATATGATTTGGTGCAAAATAAATTAAACAGAAATGACTTAGAATGTTATGCAAAAGGCCTGTGGATATGATTTATTTTTTATACAATTTAAAAATAATAAGTGGTCACCCACGTGAAGCACTGCTATTCCTAGCACTTGCCCTTTGCTTTAACCATACTGTTTAGGTTTTTTATCTGTAACAGTGCATACAAAAGGTTCACTATATTGTCACGCCACAGACACCACAGGACCAGACTGTTCTTTACTGTAGGAAGGAATTGGTGTCCAGTGCTTACAGACAACTGCTGAGAAGAAATATGTCAGCTGTGACTTCCTTTTCTAGGCTATGAAGAGAAATAATGAGTTTTATATTTAGTACGCTCGAAAGAAATAATAAAATTTACCCAAATAAACATAAATACAGATAGATGTTTCATAGCACTGTGCTTT